TCCTCTCTCTCTCTCTCTCTCTCTCTCTCTCTCTTCGCCTCGTCTACTAATTTCCGTCGCCTCGAATTCGTCTTCCACCGCCACCGGCGCCCTGAATGCTTCCTCGCCCCCACTTCCTCCTATTCTCCTCCTTTGGGGGGACAGCTGCGGCTTTCGGGGAACCCTTTCCCCTCCGTCTCCCGCTATGAGTGGGGAGGAGCCGCCCGACGACCGGCGGTGCTTGTGGCGGTGCAAGAACTTGCGGATGGAGGGCGCTGAATTCTGCTCCGATCACCGCGGCCTGCAGAGCGCCGAGAAGGGCAGGTGGGGCTCCTCGTCCTCCCGGTCCAGGAAGACTAGGGTTAGGGCTCGGCCGGAGGAGGGGCCGCCTGGGGAAGAGGAAGAGGCGGAGAGGGAAAAACTCAGAAAGAAGAACGAAAGCCGGGCCTTTAGGCCAGCGGGGTCGGCCGCTAGGGCTGCGGAGCGGGATGGCCCGAAGAGTATCCCGGTGAGGGAGCGGAGACGTCTGATAGTGGTAGACGAGTCGGACAGCGATGAGGAGGAGGATGCATTGGTGAAGGTGAGGCAAATGTGTTCTTCTCATATAATCGATCTTCTCTCTCGCATTGTTTCTGATGCTTCGTTTCTTCCTCTGGTGTTGGTTAAAATTTTGTTCGTTTTGCTCGATGTTCGGACCTGGGTTGCAGGAGGATGACGACGATTGGAAACAAGAGAACGTGAAGGCTGGAAACAAACGGAAAAGAATGCACTTGGATATGCAAAAACGAAAGAACAGAAAAACTGAGAAAGAGGCTTCAATCACGGATAAAGATGGTCAAGGAGCTGGCTCTTCTGCCGCTAGCGAAAAGTCCAGCTCTGAGAAGACTGCGCAGAATGAGAATTATCCAGAGGTTTTCCCGTTGCCTTTTCCCTTCCTCTATTGATCTATCTTTCTTGTTGGCTGGTGATTCCTTAATCTGTTTGTATCTCATTTTTCAGGTACCTAAGAAGAAGAAATTAACGGGTGATGATGCTCTTATGTGTCATCAGTGCCAGAGGAATGACAAGGGAAGAGTTGTATGCTGCACGTCATGCAAAAAGAAACGATTTTGTATACCATGCATAACTCGCTGGTGCGCTAATTTTCTCTGTTTTCTTTATTAATCAGCTATATTCATGAACTTGCAGACAGTACTGTAATGATCGAACTATCGCGATGGTCACTTGTCTGTTGCATTCATATTCTGACATTTCCTTATCCTCTTTTAAGTTTGTGAATTTTTAATTCATGGTACTGAATTGGCATCCTCCATGTGATTAATAGGTTGAGAACAAGCTTCCAGTTGTGACTCTGCTCAATATGTTTGTGCATCTTGGTTGCTGGTGTGTAGGTATCCTCATTTGTCAGAAGCTGATTTTGCAGCAAGGTGTCCATTCTGTCGCAATAATTGCAATTGCAAAGCATGCTTGCGAATGCTAGGTCTTGCTAAGGTTTGCTTCTGGCTATCATTATTCTACTCTCGATGTTTCATCATGTAATTTGGTTTAATATTTGGATCTTATCTAAAGTCTTCTGTTATAAAAAACTGCAGCCTCCAGGAAAACTGATCGAGAAGACTGACAAAATTAAGTTTTGTTGTTATACTCTACGTTTATTGCTTCCTTGGTTGAAAGAGTTAATCCAAGAACGAAATGCTGAGAAAGGAATCGAAGCTAAGATTCAAGGTAAAATTGACATAATGGATTCTAGTTACTTCTCTGATAATTCTTTTCCTAATGATTCTAGATTCTGAATAGGTGCTGCATCAAGTAAAATAAAGATACAAAGAGCGACATGTGAAAAAGATGAACGCATATTCTGGTAAAAACATTCGCCTTAGTTAATATCATGCTTCCTTTATTTGTCAAACTAGGCCATTGGAAGGTGTAACCATCTTAACTGGTTTCAAGCAGCAATGTTTGCAGAACATCCATTGTTGATTTTCACAGAAGCTGTCCAAGCTGTTTATATGACTTATGCCTTGGCTGTTGTCGGGAACTTCGTGAAGGTTGCATTCCTGGTGGCCTTGGGAAAATAATTTTGCCCTATCAGGATAGAGGTAATGATTACATTCATGGGGGCAACCAACATCGTCAAAGTAATGTATCCGAGGGTTCTTCAACCAGGCAAGCTAGCTCTCATGTGACTCAGCTGAATGAATGGAGGGCTAATGAGGATGGCAGCATTCCTTGCCCACCTAAAGAGATCGGCGGCTGTGGTTCTTCCCTTTTGGAGTTGAGATGCATGTTTAAAGAGAGTTTGCTTTCTGCTCTGGAAGAGAAAGCTGAGGCAATTGTCAAAGAGAGTCAATTTTTAGAATGCATTGGTAATTCTGATCGATGTCCCTGTTTCAGCGCAACTGGTCAGACTGATAATAGCAGTAGGATGTTGCGAAAAGCAGCATGTCGTGATAACTCAGATGATAACTGCTTGTATTGTCCGACTGCTAATGACATTCAACAGGGTGAACTGGATCACTTCCAGAAGCATTGGCTAAAGGGTGAGCCAGTGATTGTTCGGGATGTTCTTGAGCTCACATCTGGGCTGAGTTGGGAGCCCATGGTTATGTGGCGGGCATTGCGAGAGAAGAAATTGGCTGAGAAGGCTTCCGAGAGGCTTACAGTGAAGGCAATCGACTGCTTGGATTGGTGTGAGGTTAGTTTTGAGTCCCATGCCTGTTGTTATGGTTATGGCATATCTCTATCCGTCCTGTGGAATTCACTGTATCATAATGAAATTAAATATCTTGGCAATTGTTTACTCTCTTTTACTGGTGTTATGTAACAAACCCTTTCATGCAAGTAAAGGGCATGCTTGTTTCGCAGCAATTTGAGTCTTAGAAGTGTGAGTTCAGTTTTTGATGCAACCTTCATTTTTGGGCTATTTGGATGTGGTTAAGCTTGTGCTGATGGTATTATTCCAATCAACTTAGTTTTATTTTGGCCGTTCATGGCCCAACTTTATCGTGTAACATTAGATCTAAGCTAATCTACATCTATGTCTGAGTCAAATCTAAATGCAACTTAGTGCATGTAACTCATGCATTGCAATTAGAGAGACTGTTTCCAGTGACTGAGGAAAACCTGATAAAATTAAATTTAAGCCAAAATGGTTGATCTTGACCTAAGTGGAACATCCTGATGTGACTTTCACGTCTCATATATGGCATACAGTGTCTGCCATACCGAATCGTACCGCCCAGTATGGGCGGTACGTACCGGTCCGACAGGCCAGCGGTATGCGGACCGCCTGGTACCGGTCCGCACTGTAGCAGTGCTACAGTGCTCGGTACACCTGGGTGTACCGCTCGGTACACCGTACCATACCGGTACCAAGCCCAGGTCGAAATACCGGTACGGTATGGTATTGCGAACCTTGTGGCATAGTACACAAACTTGCTGCATTTCAATGTTGTTGACTTGACAAAAGCACTTGCATTCTGGTACATGAGTTTTGAGAACATAAATCTCCTGGTTGACTTTAACTTCAGTAACATGAATAGCTTATTGAAATTTTAGTAGCCAATTTGATTCATAGTTCTACTACCTTAATACATGAACTTCCAGCTGTTGAGATAACAAGTTTGAAAAAGTATATTCACATGTGATAGTCCAATTAGTCCTACATCAGAAGTAGGAGAGAGTTATGGTGGTTTAAGGGTTCAACGTCTAAATTGGGCTTGAGCATTTTGGGCCTTGTGTTGTTGGGCTCATTAAGGTCTTGGGTCAGTTTTTCCATGACGCCAGGTTGTGACATATGCATGTTGCAGTCTGTGCTGTGAAGAACTTTCCTTTGGGTTTACAGTTATGATCTATGAAGGATCCATATTAGTAACTATTTATACATTTGCTGTTGTATTCTCAGGATGTGGCTTATTCTGTCATTATATTATAGTGTAAATTGTCTTCACTATTTTTTCATGTGATTAATCTCTGAAGCTGTTAAGATGCATACTGCCGAATTGGCTGTTTGAGTCTTGTACACAAACCAAGTGGACACTTTGTGATAACCATTGTATACTTTGCAGGTGGAGATAAACATTCACCAGTTCTTCACAGGATATACTGAAGGAAGGAAACACAATAATGGATGGCCTGAGATGCTCAAGCTTAAGGATTGGCCTCCAGCCAATTCCTTTGAGGAACGCTTACCACGTCATGGTGCTGAATTCATCACTGCTTTGCCATTTCCTGAATACACAGATCCTAGGTATGGTCCTCTTAATCTTGTTGTGAAGCTGCCAAAGGATGTGCTCAAGCCAGATCTGGGGCCAAAAACTTATATTGCTTATGGACTTGCTGAAGAGTTGGGCAGAGGGGATTCCATAACTAAGCTTCACTGTGACATGTCTGACGCTGTAAGATGTTCCAGAAACTCATGTCTTGTATAAATGCTGCTTTGTAAAGTAAAATTAGATGTTTGCACTATTTGCTGACATCTTCATGAGTTGCTTTGAGTAGTTATTGGATCCAGCTTACTCAGGAAATTCTACTGATGCATATTAATCCTACCTGCCTTTCAGGTAAATGTTTTGACACATACAGCAGAAATGACCCTTTCCAGCCATCAGCTTTCTAAGATAGAGAAGCTGAAAAAGAAACATTTGAAGCAAGATATACAGGAGCAGCTTTATGCTGAACAGGAAGACAAAGGAAAAGTAGTATCTTCCGCGGAGAAAAATATTATGGAGCGGACTGACAACATTTCAAATGTGGCCTTGGATGATGAAAAAATTATGCCAATGCAGTCTTCCAGTCATGTGGACAAGATGTCTGCTGATGTACTCGATGACCAAAAATCAGAATGCATCTCTACAACTGATATCGATGTGAACACATCAAATGTTCAAGTCAGGGACGCAATGCATGTTGAGAAAGTTCCAGAGACCTGTGTTACTGGTTCTGAAGATGAAAAAACTGAATCTTCTCAACTCTGTGATCTGAATCATGAAGAGGTCACTAAAAATAAACAGATGGATCAAATTAATGTTGAACAGAATGGGTTTGACAATGTGAGGATGGATGAGAAAGCAGTTGATAAAACTCATCCTTCAGCTATACCCATTAGCAAAGATACATCTGTGCAGGTCCATATTGAGTCACATTCTGTTGTTCATAGCAGATTGTTTGTCTCTGGACCCTCCATTAAGCACTCTGGTCAATCTGGAAATGATGACAAGAAGGAAGCATCCGATCAAGACATCGGTAATGAGTCTTGCATGATTGATTTTGTTCACAAAACTGATGTTCAGACTCTCGTATGCAATACCGTACTGTACTGGTGTTTCGAGGTTGGCTCGGTACGGTACGGTACGGTACTAATGTACCGAGCATTATAACACTGTAGCACCGCAACAGTATAGCACTGTAGAACTGTAGCACTATTACAGTGTAATACTGTAGCACTGTAACGATACCGGACGGTTCGTGTACCGGTATGTCATCGGACCGGTACGTACCGTCTGTATCGGGCGGTACCATTCGGTACTGCATACCATGCTCTCTGTGTTGTTAAACTTGAAGATAATGGAGAATTTTCTTGTGCAGTGGCCAGTGTTGGATGTAACTCCGGTTACTGTTGCACCAAAATTGAAAATACTGAGGCACATGACGAGGGAACAACTATGGATAAAAGTGCTGCTGGCATTGTTCAGAGGAATGGAGGACCTGGAAACACGTTGGGCAATGTAGTTAATGACAGCAACTTAGGAGAAATGCAGAGTGAGGCTGCAGAAACAGTGTATTCTGATAAGCAGGAAAATCCAGAGCATTTGGAAGGTCGAGCAGAGACAACAAGAGGTGTAGATGAGGAGAAGTGTGACAAACAACCTGCTGCGGCTGGCATGGAGGCGGAGCAGAAACATCCTGATGGTGGTGCTCTATGGGACATTTTTCGTAGAAAAGATGTTGTGAAGCTGGAAGAATACATCAGAAAGCATTCTAGAGAGTTCAGGCATGTCCACTGTTCTCCAGTAGAACAGGTATATATTCTTTGAATTCCTTCTGGTTTACATAATTGGTTATTTCATATTTATTTCGTTGTTTGAAATGAAAATTAAATGCTTTTTCCCATATCAGGTCATCCATCCTATTCATGACCAGTCTTTCTACTTGACGATGGAGCATAAAAGGAAGCTTAAGGCTGAATATGGTAAATAATTATACGGTAGTAAAATTTTAGAAACTTTTAGCTTTTCTATAATATAAAACTGGCTACTTATGTTGGAATATCATTGAACACTTGTATTGATCCTCATGTTTGTGTTTATGTAGGAATTGAACCTTGGACATTCGAGCAAAAACTTGGTGAGGCTGTCTTTATCCCTGCTGGATGTCCCCATCAAGTCAGAAACCTAAAGGTAGACTAAGTTTATTTATCATTCTTTTTGTGATAATTAGGTCATTTTTAAGATGACTTAACTCTGAGCAGCATATAATAGTGTTATTAGTTATGTAACCAGCAAACTAATAAACATACTGTTCTCTCCTGAATAGTCATGCATAAAGGTTGCACTGGATTTCGTCTCTCCGGAGAATATTCGTGAGTGCATTCGATTGACAGAAGAATTTCGCACTCTTCCGGATGAGCACAGAGCTAAAGAAGACAAACTAGAGGTGTGCTCGCATGTGCAACTTTGTGAAATATTTTATTATTCTATTCCTTGCAATTGCTAGGATCTTTCTTTCCTTTTTTCCTTTTCCAAGTTTAACTAATTTAACTGTCTCGAAATCTCCAGGTAAAGAAAATGGCTCTGCTTGCGCTCAAACAAGTGATAAAGGAGTTGAACGACTTGAAGTATAAACCAAGTTAAGGTCCTTTTGTACACCTGCGTATTTATCGTCTCGGAAGCTTTCTTGTTCATTTTGTTGTTCCACACATGGTTTTGTTTTGAATGTAATGGTCATTATGTTCTTGTTGTTAAATCAACCAATATACCCTGGCAAATGGGGAAGAACAAGTGCCAGAGTTATGCTAAATTCATTGTACACGTTTTCTCAGGACCTGCCTCCAATCACAAGAGTCCATGTAGGAGTCTGAAGCTGAAGAAATGGCAGTGATGCCCCAGCTTCACCCACTCTTGATATCAGTCAGGCTCATCTTCTTGTAGTTAACCCCCTGCCGTGTTAACTGTTTTTTGGTAGACTGCATGTATCGTTACATTAGCTTTGTCCTCAAGTCGGTGGCTAAAATCTCCTCCCATTGGCACATGCGTTTTGTTTGCGTTATTTTTTTGTACACTGCATCTGCTGCTGTGGTAAACCAAAAATGCAAAGTTGTGGTGTCTGTAAACTTTGTACTCGTCGGTCACCTAATGATGTTTTTATTTTGGGGCTGAACAGCCGTTTTTCGCTGTCAACAGCTACATATTTCAAAGGTTCGATAGTTGTTTCGTGTGTGTAGTAGTGTTTCCTCACCAGCTCGCACTGCCTTCCGTGCCCATAGCGTTGCTCTGGTCGTGATTTTTGTCGGCGGAGGCTCTCTCCGACGATCTGGCCGACGAAATCGATGTTCAGTTTCCCTGATTCAACTCTCGACTTCATGGACCACTCGTGCTACGAGCCAACGTCATTACTTTGTCGTGACTTTCGTCGGGGAAGTCCTCGCCTCCGAGCTGACCGACGAAATCGACTGCAGTCACGATTCCAGCGACGAGCCAGTAGCGATGTTCCTTTGGTCGTGACTTTTGTCGGGGGATAGTCTCTTTTCCGGATTGACCGACGAAATCGAAGGCTTCGGTTTGAAGAATTCCCGCTTTTATTTGTTTATTAATTCTTTTTTATTGTTATGTGCCTTCGTTTCGCTCTTTCGACAACCGGTGGCCCATTCTCTCTCTCTCTCTCTCTCTCTAGAGTCGACACCCATCGATCAGAATGGAGCACGGGAAACCCTAATCTCAGGTCTGTGAAGAGGGGAAGGAGAGGACTGTTTAGGGTTAGGTTTCGGCCATGGCATCGTCTCGTGCCGTGCTCGGGCTGCCAGTGAAGTGGCGGACCTTTGGGAATGGAGCTCTCGTGGACAGACGGAGGGTTTTTGCTCTAGGTGATGTTGCCTCCTCTTTTGCTCGCGACGGGGAAAGAAAGCTCCTCGGGCATCTGGCCCTAGTGGCCAAATCGCATTCCAGCCGGGGGGAGATCTCTGGGCAAGCGAAGCTGAGGGTGTTGGAGGCTCCGGCCGTAGAAAATTGGCAGATTCTATCCGGGGTGGAGATTCCGGTGACTTGTTTTCAGGTCAGGAAGTCACTCGAATCTTTTCACGCCTTTATCAGCGTTATGTCTTTACATCTTGTTCCAATTACTACTATGGGCAATTTTCCATAGGTAAGGCGGGTAGCTAGGAAAAATTTCTATGTTTGTTTGGTTTATTTGATCCAATTCATTAATTTTTGTGGCAGAGAAAGTCGATTGCTGTGCTTTTATAGGTTTCAAATTTGTGTAAACGAACAAATTGGTAATTCACTAGTAGAAAATGTAGCTCCATATTATATCTTCTTGTTCTTTTCTGTGTATGCCATAATGCTACATAGACCTTTGTTTGGCTTCAGAAGAGATTATTGTGTGTGTACATCTCCATTCTCGAGAGAAGCAGAAAAGTAAAATAGACAAGTCTATCTTGTCATGGGCGTCATAAATTATTCAAAGGATGGAGCACTTGGATGTCCTTGTGCTGTTATGGAATTTACCTTAACAAGTCTAGCTTGTCTTGTGTCTACATGATTGTGTACGAGAGGAGTTGAGGGAAAAAAAAAATTCTTTGTGTTGATTTGGGAAGGTTATTTTACTTAGATATTTTTCTTTTCAGGTAAAAGTGGTAGTAAATAATTCATGAAATGAGACCAATAATTGCTGGATGAGGTTGCAGTTAGTATCATTCTTAACATGAGATCAGGAGCTTCTGTAAAGCAGTTTTCAGAAGTAATTGAATTTTCATTTTCCTATGATCATAGGCTAAAACACATCGAGCAGATATTTATTGATCAAACAAACTCCTACGTCTTCAGTTATCAACATTTTACCATCATTTCTTGATGAAGAAATCTTTAGGGACAATCATAGTATTCAATTGTCTACTAATGAGTGGTATTTTTTCCCTTATCATGAGGAATCATATCCTACAAAGTGTATTTTCTTTATTGTCTTTTTTTTTTTTTACTTTGGTTTGAAGAAATTTTGTAGTTATTTCCACTATCATCCATTTAAAGGAAGATAAGGTTGACTCTCAAGGATATATACCTGTTGAATTGCTTCAACAAACTTGCAGCTTCTAGGCGTTACAGCGCAATCAGAAAAGGATGAGATTGCCAAAGTTGTGATGGAGTTGAAAAGTTCAGTGATTGAAGATGGATATACTGCAGGCACCATTGTTTCTCGGCAGGTACAGGAATGTGTTTTTGATTATTATCTATTTTCATATAGATGCCTAAATTTGCATGATATGTTGTAGTATGAGGCTTCAATGTTGTATGGTGTAGGGTCTGTTGATTGATGTAAGGGATAAACTTCTATTTGAGCCAGAATATGCTGGCAATATAAAAGAAAAAGTACCACCAAAATCTTCTCTTCGAATCCCTTGGTCTTGGTTGCCTGGTGCCCTATGTCTTCTAAAAGAGGTAAGCTTTTTATCTAAAGCCTTTTCCATTTAGTCAACATGTCTACTGTAATCTTGGTTGCAGGAAAACTATATCTTGAACTTTATTGACAGAACAGCCTTTGTCATAATTCTGAGAAGCTAGTACTATGATGATAACATGTGATCAAAGTTATCCATTGCAGATACGTGAGCCATGTAGAGTTTCTTATACATTCTTTTGATATCATTAGACTCCCCTAGTGAACTTTTAGCATGCTGTGCAAGGAACCTAAGCTGGTTTTTGGACCAAAAGTTACAAAACTGCAGATGTTTTTTGTATCATTTTTTATGGTAGTACCACATACTCCAGTAAGGCAGATTAAAAATTCAACAGATTGTAGTAGGCATATATTCAGCTTTGAATTGTAGTTGGGAAGTTTGAGCTGATATTATTTGTATAAAACAACCTTATAATATGTCAATCTTTGAAGGTGTCACTTGATGCCTCCTGCATAAGATAATGCTCATTAGTTAAAGTTAAATAATGCCTAAGAAAATCAGCACCCTTCTCTTCCTCTTCTTCCCTGTTCTTGAGCAAGTATGTTTTTTTTTAGACCTCATCTTTTCATTGATCTCAAAGCAAGAAACTGAATTGTTTTGGTGACTGGAATGAATGCTTTGGTCCAGGTTGGAGAAGATAAGATGGTTCTAGAAATTGGCCAAGCAGCGTTACAACTTGCTGATGCTAAGCCATATAGTCATGATTTGCTTCTCTCCATGACTCTAGCTGAAGTAAGAAAATATCTGCTGATACGAGTATTTAATTGTTTGTTGTACTCATATTATATTGTTTATTTGTTTGGTATCTCTTTTGCAGTGCTCAATTGCAAAGATTGGTTTTGAGAACAACAAGATATCTGAAGGCTTTGAAGCTCTTGCATATGCCCGTTACCTACTAAGGAGCCACATCTCTCTAGGGAAAATGCCATTACTCTCGCAGGCAAGCATCTTTCTGTCATCTGGATCAGTCCATGGTTCTGTATGAAATGTCTGATGTCGAAGCAATCTTTTAGATAGAAGAATCCTTAGAGGACCTTGCACCTGCTTGCACATTGGAGCTTCTGGGCCTGCCTCATGTTCCTGATAATGCTGAATGTAGACGTGGAGCATTAGCAGCTTTGCAAGAACTGATTAGACAGGGTCTAGATGTTGAGTTTTCCTGTAGAGTTCAGGATTGGCCTTGTTTCTTGATTCAGGCTATGAACAAGCTAATGGCATCTGAAATTGTTGACCTTCTTTCTTGGGATTCCTTGGCCATTAGACGCAAGAATAAAAAATCCATTGAGTCTCAGAATCAAAGGATTGTGCTTGATTTTAACTGCTTTTATTTGGCCATGATCGCTCACATTGCTCTTGGATTTTCAACACGACAAAATGAGATGGTACTATCACCTTGCTGGTGACGATTTCTATTTATTCTTAACCCAGACAATGATGTAACTCCAAGTATATCGTCTTGCAGATTTCTAGAGCAAAAACCATTTGTGAGTGCTTGATTGTATCAGAGGGAGCAGAATTGAAATTTGAGGAAGCTTTTTGCTCATTTCTTCTTGGTCAGGTAACATGTTACGTGAAACATTTTTTATATTATATATATACATTTATGTAACAGACTATATATTCAGGGTGGTGGGATGGAGGCTGTTGAAAAGCTTCAACAGCTTGAAGCAATCAGAAGTTCCACCTCACGGAATTCACTATCCAGTTTGAGTGGAATGGACAAGGACAAGGTCGTAGTTAACCAGGCACTGGTATGTATATGAAACTTTGTTACCATCTGTTGTGCTTATTCTTTTTCATAATTAACAAAATTTGTTAAGTTTTCAAGTTTTTTGTCAGTTGCTGACTGACATTCAATATGCCTCTCGCTAAAAGTGATGATTCCATATCATTAGTTCTGACAATATTCTTAATTTGGATGGTTACTAGGTATGTTTCTTTTTATGGAGAAAGTCAAAAAAGAGAGTTCATGAACTTGCATCTTTTAAGGGCATTGATTCTTTAACTTAATAATTAGAAGGACTTGAAATTAGTAATGACTGGATTAGCTTCTGTTTTCTAGTAATCAACTATAGTTGGCCAGGTTTTCACCCTTTACCCAGTATTTTAACATGGTAGTTCTTCTTGGGTAGCTTAAGAATAGTTTCGAAGCTTTTAGTTGTTATGAAACAATTTCTTATGCAGCAAGCCAATTCTCATAAAGCCAGCCTCTCCTATCACAATCGAATAGCCTACTAGCCCTATAACTTGAGTAGAATAGGCCTTACATACACGTGATCCAAAATGCATAACCCTACGTCACCAGTGCTTCTGACATCCTTTGTTGTCTATCTCACTAAGAATCTAAGTATGAATTTTAGCTAGGATGATCCAGTGGTTGCAAAACATATCTTATTATGTTGTGATAATGGTGGCGAACATGCCCCCTTGGTTTCCTTTGGAAAAAAATACTGGCACCTGATATGCATACAGTATCTGCAAATATTTGCCATAAGAATTTAAGCAAAGGAAATTATTGTGGCTGAATGGTAAAGTTTGAATGTAGGAAACAGTTAGAAGTTCTTGATAACTTATCCATGTTTTGTTTTTTTTTTAAATTAAAACAGCATCTTGTTTGGTCATACCACCACCTAGTATGGTCATTGAACTCAAGTTCAAAAGTTGTGGGTGGGATGCTGTTCAGTTACCATTGGTTTCGTATATTATACATATCTGTGATAATCATTTTGGATTATCATACGTATATGTAATCTGATTATTTTATGAATCTTTATCCTTTTCATTCGCCTTGGGCATGTTTAAGTGGGTTGGTAGGTCAGTATTGAAGTTGCCACCTGTTTGATTAAATACACATGCTCAATGATGAATGATCTTCTTATATAATTTAATTTTCATGATAATTGCATTGTGCATATGCTTTTATTGGTGGTGGAGAACTACAGGATTTTGGGGTTTAAAAGCTCCAGCGTATCGGGACACCTTGAACTTTTCATGTTGGTCGTGATGAGTAGTAACTTCTCATGTGTTTTGATTTTATCTGAAAGTAATGTGGAAGATAAAGGACACTGGATATACTTTTATTGCCTTCTTAAGACTAAGCCTCAATTTTGTAAAATTTGCATGTGAACATGGTAATTCCTTACCAGAGAACTTGCCTTAAGGTTGAAATTGTCTTATGCCAGACGAAATGCTGAAATTTACCAGGAAACTTGGCTGAAAGATGCTGCTCTTTCTCTCTTTCTGGATACACACGATTGCTCTCCTTCTATGGTGAGTCTTGGAGTGTATTGATGTATAATAATGCAAGGCCATTTATGCTGGCTAGTTTCTAACATTTACAGATATGACATAGGCCAACTTCTTTGGGAGTCCAATGCGAATTCTTAGTGTTGGCAAGCAGAAAATAGGAACCACAAAATCACTTCCTTCTGCTGGCAATCGTATATCAAATTTTGGTCTGTTACCCGACCATGGAACTTCTGTTGCGCAAGCTGCACACGATAATTTGACCAATCATCTGGACAAAGCTTTCAAACATCTTTTATCAGTTAACTTGCAGAGACAAATGTCTGTAGGTGATCCTACTGGTAATATTAGTCTGCCATCTTCTCAGCTAAAGAGAAATATTGATTTTCATTCCAAGAGATTCTGGGAAAGCTGGTTTAGCAAAGGAAATATGGCAGGAAAGATTGCCCATACTGCTCTTGTTGGATGGATCGTATTTGGTGCATTTAAGCTGCTCGCTATGCGATCTGGTAATTCTAAAATGCCATATGAATTGAAGACAAGTCACCCTTGCAGTACTAGTCAAATCACTGCTTCGAGTCATCATGGTAGTTGTGATAGTGCATCTGCTTTCGTAAAGAGGGATCTAATGGGTCAGCTACGGAAGTTTTGGGCTATTTTCAGGGGAGACCTCAAGTATACAAATGGTGTTGGAAGTTTGCAGAATACATGGCCCACCGATGATCTTTCACGTTTCTCTGCTGTTGCTGCTGGTACTCAGGTACATAGACGACAGATGTCTATTGAAGAAGCAGAAGCACTGGTGAAGCAGTGGCAAGATATAAAGGCTGAGGCATTAGGTCCTAGTCATCAGATTCAGTTGCTGCCTAATATTCTTTCTGAATCGATTCTTTTAAAGGTAATCAGATCATTTGTTGATTTAGATATTCTCTTGTTAATTGATTTATGTTATGCATTTGTGATTGTCAGTGGGAAGAATTGGCAAATTCAGCAAAAGCAAGATCCTGTTTTTGGAAGTTTGTTTTGTTACAAACCTCTATTCTGCATGCTAAGATAGTCTCAGATGGAGGTGATGATGAGATGGCTGAAATCGAGGCTGTGCTTGAGGAAGCTGCTGAACTTGTTGATGATTCTGAGCCAAGAAAGCCGAATTATTACAGGTTTCCTAATACTAGTATAATCAATCCACTAAGCATTACTGGTATGACTTTTGAAGAACAGATTATTTGATTTCTATCATTTAATCTGCAGTACATATGAAGTCCATTATATCCTTAGAAGACAAGAAGACGGTTCATGGAGATTTTGTGGAGGTGGTATCCAGAATCAAAATATGACATGATGAGCTTATCAATCAGGTATCGTGTCTTATAAAGGGCAATCCTTTTTAATTGTTCATGCATCTAAGAGGGTGGCTTCACATCATTGAAGTGTAAAAGTAAAAATGAAGAGGCTGAGCTTCCGCCACTGAATTTTCTTGATTTTGAGAAATGATTGATTGGTGGATGCCTGTTTGTTAACCAACTGCATTTTTATGGTTACGTGAGTATTCTTTCCGAAGAGGACTAAAAATTTTCTACTTCAGATGTCCCAGCTGGTTGGTTTAAGGCGTGGGTTGAGTCTTGCATCCTTCTTCCTTCAGGAGTAACTACCGTAGGTTGACTTTTTCATTCTCACGCGATGATGTGTCTTTGATTCTTTATCTCGTGCTAATGTTCCCGTCCTTGTCCTATTACCGTCTGTATATTTGCCGAGAATATGCTTTTACTAGATCGGTATATTTCCTTCCGACTACTTCCATAGAGCAGAAGTCCCAGCTTGCAACATCTACATAATGGTATTTAATAACAGTTTCGCAATGCATTTCGACTTTCGAAGGTCCATTATTCTACACAGGTCCAGGCCTCAGGTCTGCGGTCCGGACAAGTCCGTCCTGCTTGGCCGCGTTGGTTAGGCCAAAGTCCGCAAGACGAGGGCGGAGAGGAGGGCTCAATTAGACAGACTCGAGTAGGAAATAAAGATGGGCTCCGAGTCTTGCGCTGCTTTATGCGCGAGTCTGCGGGCCTATAAATAAATGCGATTGCTGGCTGATTGATTAGTTACACAAACCTTTCTTTCGACAAAGCACCTGCCGCGGTCGACCATGTGAAGAAAAATTACATCGATAAAGAACAAGAAAAAAATTACGCAATCAAATTGAATTATTTGACAAATTACACCATCAATCAATGTAGAAATAAACGCCAATCAGTTGATCACAGATAGCTCAACTGAACCGCATACAGTGACCTAAAGACTAATCAGAGAGTTGTTACTAGATCTGCTGTTAGGTCACAAGATAATGGTGGTTACAGCTATCATTGAAGTCACAAGAGAAAAAAAGGATCCTTTGTTAATAAGCGCGCACTAAGAAGACTAAAGGAAATAATCACATTATTCTATTGCCTTTTTCAGTTTTAATCAAATATTCACAAGACAAAAGTGCAATAGCAGATTTTTGAAATTTTCATACCTTTGCCGGACAACACGGTTTGCAATTCCCTGCAAGTTCAATTAATGTTTATTTATATAATTGATAAAAATTGTCGGTTAATAAGAGACCCAATGTATGATTTGTTAAATGTCATGACTTATTTTGAGAGGCTAATCAAAATAATACTTTGATTTTGACTTCCAGAATACCATGTAATACATGAAATAACCACTTCGATCTCGTTTGGTTGTTCTTTTACAATATTCAATTAGACAGCAAACTAAATTTTCTTAAAGAATCAGCTTTAAGATAATATCATTGCTTCGAATAATTGTGCTTACTGGCCACAAAAATCATATACCAAAGCACAGATTTGATTATCTCTGCTTTGCAACATTGAACATCACATTAATTAATAAAATAAAACTTTCCTCACCCATGAAAATTTTGTGGATATCGGCAGTGTCATTCATGGCGACCTGTTAAATCTTCTTTCGTTGCCCTCACCATATCCAGCAATGTGCTCCTTATGCCTCAAACCAAGTTTCTCAATTTCCTTCTTAATCACATCTATTCCACCATCATTTCTCATAGATTTCGTGCTGGAAAAATTGTCAAACATGCGACCTTTCTGCAGGTGGAAGTTAAATGGAAAATCCAGAGAGCTTACCTGCAGTTTGCATGAGCACCAACACCAGCACCAGCACCATTACCGTCACCCTGATTTACAACAAAGAAATCAAACAAAGCAAGAAAGCATATCTAGCTAGAACTCAAAGAGAAGGAAACTTCTAAAAAGGACCTGGATAAGTTTGGGATCCAACGACAGAACTACTCCTGCAATTTCTGTTATCCTCCGCATATCAACAGAAGTGAAAAATGTTTAGAGATTTACTAGGTGGATGTGAACTATGTAATTTGCTAAGTGAAAATCATTAAAAAAAAAAAAAAAGGTGCAATGAATTAGATAATAATGTGACAGAAGACTTTTATAAAAGAATTGATCAAGTTAATTCTAAAAAAAAAAAGCTAAATAAACATGACCAAAACACCTACTTTGAAGCCTCAAATCTTTCAAAATATATAAGTAATCGAAGAGTATAATATGTGGATGTAAAGATCTCATGAAAATGAGAAGGTATCAAGATCCACTCAAGAATATCATGGGAAGACTAGTTTTAAAGAGCTTAAAATTACCTATTTATCACTTTTATTTTTGTATTTTTTTAATTATCACATATTATCTAGTTAACTAATTTTCAAGGCTCCCTTCTATTCTTCACATTAAAATAATATCTTTTAAGTATTATAAAAATCTTGTCGATATAAAAAGTTGATTTCCTTCTTTTCCCTTTATAATGGTAGTTTGATAGAATTATTTCTAATAGTATTTTTTAAAATTTTGTTTTAGTTCTACGTTAGTCGGTATTATATCCTTGCTCTTGGTGTTGGCATGTTTGTAGTTAGGAAATTAAGAAGCATGCTCTACATTCACCACTAATAATAGATCTTGTCTATCAAAAACTTAATAGTACAACTCTATAATCTATCAAAATAAGGTCTAGTTGCAATAATGACGGTGACAACATTATCGATGATGGTAGTGGCAATTTTGATAGTGATGACCTTCATGATGGAGGTAATGGTAATAACCCCAGTAAAAATGATCGGGGAATATCAATCCTATTGTCATAGACAAAACTATAAATGAGATGCTTGATGTAATGCTCATGTATGTCCGTTTATTTTAATTTTGTCTATGCTTTACATAGCATGTAAAGGACTGATAGTAGGCTTAGCAACCTCATTTTCTTTGGTTTTAGTGTCCGTCCTAGGCTTGCAAATAAATGTTATGTCATATGAGCACTTGTAAGGATTTCAGACTATAGTGGACCAGTTTGGACTCTTTGTTGTGTGACCATTCAGTGCTTGTGAAGTCTGTTTATAATTTATATTGGCTATAAAGTGTTTACTGAAATAATTGCTTGTGGATCCCGAGTGAGACGTTTTCTTTAACCCGCTTTCTCTTTTGTATGTCCTAAGGGACCATAGGAGGTTTCGGGAAGGCTGACATTTACGGATGGACACACAAAGGTATCGTATAACTTAGACAAAACTAGCTAAATATGTGACATATAGTATTAGAGTGGGACAAGCACATATAGAAATACTTGGTATGCAAACGTGGGGGACCTAGCGGGGCTGCATTGAGGGCAACTAGCACGCGCGACTATTTGGGGGAAATGGGCATGGAGATGTATGGAAAAGGAGCCACTCAGAGGAGCGGGCATCTGAGATTGACATTCAGAGGAATGACCAATCCTTCACGCAAGAGGCACCATGAAGACAAGTAAGCTGGGAAGAATGCATAGCGCACAAAGGTTGGGATGGCTAAGTTCGAGCTATAACTCGACGTTAGCAACCATACTTGTTGGTGATCAAAGCAAGCGAGGTGCTTGGTGAAAGATGAGACCATTGAAAGTGGAATGGGTTGCTCAACGACCAAAAGAGTTTTGCAAAACTCATGGAGGTAAGGGGGGGGGAATTGCTAATTCGAAGAACTTGGTACTTATACAAGGGCTTGTATGCGAACGATGAAATGTTCATAGCCATCCCAAGACGACTGAAACTCGACGCTATAGAGCATTGAAACTTTCTCTTCGATATGAGAAGGATACGTCCATATGATGCTGAAGTGTGCAGTGAGTTCGGCATGTTGCTAGGCCTTAAGGGGTACAATAGGGGCTATATTAGCGAGGATACCTAATCTAGCAAATGCATTTACGGGGGTAGCAAATGCATTCAGCAAGGCAAAGTAGTCCAAGGGGATGGTAGTCTCTAAAACTTCCAGAGAGAAGGATGTGAAGAGAAAAGTTGCTCCAACAAGACAGATACCTTGGAGGGATAAGTCCCGGTTCTTCAGAGGGAGAATCATGTGCAACAGACCGCACATGTCGAGGAGGAGTACCTCGAGACAACAACCCCACAAAGCTCAACAAACCGAGCGAGTGGCGAGGAGTTATCGCATGATCTCGCATGAGGTAATACATTGATGGATGCATTACGAGATCAAGTGGGGGAGTGACCCGAGGCAATATAAAATGAAGGTACACTTGGAATCGATATGGAAATCGGACTCAATGGAGGGTTGGCCTATGAAATAGTGAGCACGAGGGCTACCATTAACTCAATGCAAATCAAAGAGCAGAGCAACTTGGGTGTAACTTAATGAGGGACCTAAGTCACATGAAGGGAGTCGGCATAGAAGATAAAACATAGAGTAGAGACATGAAACTTTCCTTAGACAGAGGTCAAGGATATGAACTCTTGTAGAGACAAGAGCAGGATCATGTCGTTCTATGGGTCCCTTATTCTGATGGAGTAGACTTATTCTGTATAGCGCCAAAGATAAAGAGAGCTTCGAGGCATATACACCTTATCTTGGAGAAGCATTTGATGGAGGAACCAAGACAACTTAACTTTCGGAGGTAAAGTTGGGTTCAGAAAGTCATGACACGGGACAAGAGGATGCGAAGGTAGGTACTCTTGAAGCATTCAAGTTGCCATGAAGTGGGGTGCAATGGAGATTGTACTGGTGGGAGCAGAGGCCTAGGATCTAGACAATGGTGCACCATTTCAACGAAGTCAGTGGATTTTGAGACCTACTAGGTGACAGACTATCCTAGAGCAGTAATTCATCCGGGTGTGGCCCGAGAGCGGATAGACGAAGGTCGATTACCAAAGGAGCGAACACAATTGAAGGTGGAAGAGGCCCTGTGATATGTTGGCAGAGGCCACACATGGAGAGATCACAATCTGAGTTCATCTCATAATGATAAGAATGCATTGGAGATATCACTAGGAGGTGACATGGTGCAGCGGATCATGGCAATGCGATACACACGAAACTAGTCTTGCGAGGGACTAAATCATATAGAGGTATGATTGGAAGTTATTAGAAGCTTTACTTCGATGAACAACACGACGATAAAAAAAGTTATAGATTCAAGGAGTGAATGTCATGGTATCGCAGAGGCGAGTCTTCCGTGCATGCATCGAATTTTTTATCAGAGAAAAGCTTTAGTCATCAATATATGAGGTTTGTGCACCACCAAAGGAGAATTTCGAATACAAGTACTAGTGAGCCCCATAAGGGAGGACTTGATCACAAAGGTATGATCGGAGCGACTAGAGAGATGGATTGCTCCAGAACTCATATTCGCTTAAGGGAGCTTGGTAAGTAAAAGGACAAGGCTGAGTAGGCGAACGTTGCTACCAAGGAAGCTAAGGAGAACAGAATCAGTGCGAACCCTATAATATGATGGCAGAGGCCATGCATAGGGGTCACAATGTGTCTTTCTATCGACCAAGGGGAACTGCTTAGAGAACATAGAGGTATTAAAGTAGAGAGTCAAAAGGGGCGAAGAAGTGACGATGAGTCCATAGAGACTTAACTACCCAAAACTAAGTATCGGTTAAAATGGAGGTGGACTCGGAGGAGTGCCACAGTACCACAGAGGCAGATCTACCGATTGTGAAGAATGAGACAGATACGAGGCGATGGATAGCAGGGTCAAGGGCATGGCAGTGCCATGGTACCGCAGAAGCAGGACTTTCGTGAAATCATCGATCCCTTGTTCTCGTGAAGGGAGAGCAGTTGGCCATGAAAGAGGCCGAGGAGATGGAGAATGCAAAAGCGAACTTCAAGTATCGAGACAAGCCTGACAGGCAAAGGCCATGGAACTTTGTAAGATTGGTGTCAATGAGCTTCTCATCAAGATAGCCAAAAGTGAAGGACTTCGGGTCGATGCATGAGTGCTCAACCAAGGAACGAAGTAGACAATACGTGATACTATACCTTTGCAACTCAGAGGAGTAGGCAGACAAGATAATGGAGAAGACGGTACAATCCAAGAGGCGACCAAAATTACTAGAGACTTGCTCCAAGTTTGGGAGAAAACTTATATTATACAAGTTCGATGGCATTGAGAAGGTAAATCATAGTAGCTAACTCAATGCAAGGAATGCAAACACTTCGAGTACTTTAGAAGTGTGAGCAAAAATCAGGTGAAGGCTAATAACCAGCTCGATGCATGGAGTACAACCCTCGAGGAGGCAAGCAAAATCAAAGTAAACTTTGCCTTCTCAACTTTTAAGAGAACGAGCGAAACCGAGCACCTCAATTCTCTTATCTATCTAATAAAGGAGCTCTGCACAGATTTAAAGGCCCTTTGAAGAAACCGAATGAAAGACAATAGTTGTCAAATCCTCACCAATAGTGATCAATGCTATTAAGAGTAGATTATCTACTTCATTTTCCTACAGAATATCAATCAAAATCAGAAGTAATGTGAACCTACTTAGAAGTGACAACTAAGTGAAAGAAGAATCGATAGGCAAATTGTACAGAGCAAGGACCCAAAAACTTTAAAGTCTGCGAGACGATACTCGTTAAAGCTCCATTAAGCATCTACCTAGTTCAAGTGGCACGAGGTATTTGAGAGACTGACGTATATTAAGGATGGTATTTTCCTTCATCCAATGAATCAATAGGAAATAACAGGGATCAGCACAACTCAGTCGACCCCACACCAGAGTCAGAGTCATTAGCGAGTTGAAGTAGCATGGTAGATCAAAGTTTGACTACTTAACAACAGTGGCAGAGTCTAGTTTGGAGCCAAGAGACGCATTGCAACTAAAACAGAAGATTGAATACTCAGCAAAGGTGAGAAGATGTAGTGTCTGCAAAGGCTTCGATGAGGATGTCGAGGGAATAAGTGGGAGAGAATTTCACAGACAAAACTATAAACAGGGTGTTTGATGTAATGCTCATATATATCCATATCTTTCGGTTTTGTTCATGCTTTGCATAGCATGTAAAAGGCTAGCAGTAGGCTTAGTAGCCCTATTTTCTTTAGTTTTAGTATCCACCCTAGGCTTGCAAATAAACATGATCAAGGAGCTTATTTGGAGTTTCAAATCTTTCAAAATATATAAGTAATTAAAAAATATAATATATGGTTATAAAGATCTTATGATAATCTACAAGTAGATACTAAGATCCACTCAAGAATATCATGGGAAGACTATTCTCGATGAGCCTAAAATTACCTACTTATCATTTTTATTTCTATGTTTCTTTCAATTATCTTATATTATTTAGTTAATTAATTTTTAAGACGTAGAACTAGAATAAATAAAAACCCCCTCTAAGCTTATTCTTCATATAAAAAATAATATCTTTCAAATATTGTAAAAAAAATTTAATATAAAGAGTTGATTTCTCTCCTTTCCCTTTATATGGATAATTTAATAGAATTATTTCTAGTAATATTTTCTTAAATTTTACCTCAAGGGTATAGCAAGATACCCATAACTCATGACAAGCAGAAATTCCAACAGCAGGCCCTACTTGAAGCTCCAGTTTCATCAAATAGATGAAGTTAATAAGGAAAACAACAGCAAAATGTAATTATGAACTACTTGACAAAAGATCAGCATACACTAATCAGCCCAGTGAAGATGAATAAAGCATCGATGCTGCGTCCAAAATGTCATACGGATGTAACTGATAAAGATATGTAATTTGACGATGCCACACATCATA